CAGTACCTTGGGTCCATATGCTTTTTGCCCACTAAACATGTCAGTCCCCATCTAGTGGTCACTGGGAAGTCCCACCTGCTCCTCATGGGGAACCACCAGTCCCATGATTACCCATCTAAGCTCTCTGATACTCTGTGTTCCAGGGAAATGAAGGGCTCAGTCTATTCTAGGCATCTTTTCCCCTCTTTTTCTGCCAGGAGATCCAACCAACAGCCTGGACTCTACCTCTTCACTATTGGCCACACCTACCACCAGCCAAAGCTTGATTTGTTGGGTCTGATCTTCTTGGTTGCCTTGTTTTTTTGGGGGGGGTGTAGTGGTGATATCACTCACAAATTTATGTTACTAAGTATGCTAATGGTTTAATCCACCAATGAAAAGGCATTTCCATACTAAGCTGCTTAGATGCCAGGCACTGGGGGAACACGTGGCTCAGTTTATAATGGGACCAGCCCAAGAGTGCTGGGTCAGATGCAAAAATTCCAGAGTGTGATTCAGTCTAGGAAGGTCCCCAACACTCTGTACCTGGCTATAACTTTCAGTCGCCTCTCCTAGTCTTGTCTCCAAGTTGATGCCACCAGCTGCATCTCTTTGAACCTACGTTAGCTCATGAAGGTGGAGATAGGCTTTCCTAGGACACACACATGGACCCAAATCCCAACTTGGCACCTTACAACCTGTGTGATTTGATTCAGTTTACCCATCTTTACAGAGCTTTAATGTCCTCATTATCAGAGAACCTTGTAGAATAAATTGAGATACATCTTTGACTTGCCAGGAACAAAGCAGGCAGTCAAGAGTGATAGCTATTTATTAGCGCTGCCGACATCGGCATCACTACTTCCCTCTGTCCTCATTTAAAAGACGCCAGTGGCTTAGTAATGGAATAGGTGTAAACTCCTTCAACTGCTGTAGACGTGTCTGCGACCTTCCCTCCTCTTCTGGTGCTCAGTCCCAACACACTCTGTATGCAGTCCAATGGGTCTCCTCTGTTCTTGAATAAACCTAGTTCACACCTCAGCCTGGTCAAGTTCCAAAATCGCTGTGTGGTTCTAGGCATGAGAAACCTAAACGGCATAAGTATCCCTTCCAACCTGGGATAAGGCTGTATTCTCGCTTTTGACAACTGAATTTCGAGTTCTCTTACAATTGCCACCCTGACTCAGTCCCCATCGCACAAAAGTTGGGTGACCAGAGGGTCCTCACTCTGGACCAACCAGTCTGCGTCCACCTGAAGCATTTCAAGCATGTTCTGTGCAGGAGCCCCCATCCTGAAGCCGTTGCTACTTCTACGGCCGTTTTTGGGTGACTGTGTCACATGGACCTTTAGATTGTTGCTGCCAGCTTGAGCAGTCAGCTTCTTGCCGACTTCCTTAGGAGCTGCTGAAAGGCTGGGTTTGGCCTCTGCCTTAACAGCAAGTATGAGGAGAGGCCTGTGCCAGGCCTGGGGTGTGCCTGTGGGGTTGCCTTCAGATGCTCCAAGATATCTGGTGGGCAGTGTCTTCCTGCTGGGTGAACTCTGCTTCACCCTCTGTGCCCCTCCACTGGCCTCTTTTGACTCTTCTTCTTCCTCCTGCCTCCTTTTCTGCTCTGACCTGGAGTCACAAAACTCTCCTCTCTTGGAAGCTGAGGGAACACCCGCTGTCCCCACTATGGGCTGTATGTTGCTGTGGTGTGATGACACAATTGTGGCTATGGCTGCAAGTTACTGGGCTACCTTGAATTCAATGACTAGGGATGATCCTTTTTTAAAAAAATATTTTATTTATTATTTTTATTTTATGTGTATGAGTGTATTGCCTGCATGTATGTAAGTGCACCTGTGTTGTGCAATGCCCGTGGAGGTCAGAAGAGGGCATCATATTCCCCTGGAACTGGAGTTATGGATGGTTCGTAGCCACCATGTGGGTGCTGGAGATTGAACCCTCGTTCTTTGCAAGAACAACCAGTGCTCTTAACCACTGAGCCGTCTCTCCAGTCCCTGAGGAGGATACTTTTATTGTTTTTGTTTTTTTGAGACAGGGTCTCCTCATAGACCCAGCTGGCCTGGAATTCACTATGTAAACCAGGCTGGCCTCTACAGAGATCCACCTGCCTGCCTCCCAAGTGCTGGGATCAGAAGCATGTGCTAGCACACCCAGTTTCTAGAGAGGATCTGTACTTGCCTCTTCCAGCTTCTAGCGGCCCCAGGCATTCCTGATCTTGTGGCCACATCACGCCGATCTGTCTCCATCTTCATATGGCCTTTGCCTCTTCCTGCGTTGTGTATAAGGATTTGCCACTGGATTTAAGCCCCACTTGGGTAGTCATGGATGCTCTCATCTTGAGCCCATCAGTCACACCTGCAATGATCCTTTTTCCAAATAAAGCCAATTCACAAGTTATGGGGTTAGGAGGTATGTACATTCCTTACTCAACCCAGAGTACTGAATGTGCTCAGAAATGTCACCTCATCTCTCAGCCTCAACCTTTGCTTGTGACAGAGGCAGAGCACTCCTCCCACCAAAGGCAACTGTGAGAACTGGGGCGAGCACACGACACAGTGAATATTCTGTAAGCAGAGTTTTAAGTGTGCAGGCTCCAAGACTGCAGTGCTGAGCTCTGACAAATCCCTTGGCCGTTCCCACACCCTGCCACCATCACCTTTCTTGCTCCCTGCTCGACTCTGCTTCTCTGGCTCTCCAACAGTCTCTGTGTTCCCAGCAGACCTCCTTCTATATAGAAAGCACTTGCATACATATGTTTTAAATTAAAACACCCCCTCCAGGCCAGACTGGCTTTCCTTGAGTTCTCAGGACTGTAGCTGACATCTACTTCCTCCATTTGCCACTCAGAGTCTACAATTCCGAAGGTCTGGAAATGGACCCAGGTTGAGCACTTCCGAGTCGTGTGACTTTAGGCAAACATCTTAATGTCTCTGAGACCCAGGTTCTTCATCTGAATGCAAGGATGATGGTTCTTACCTTGTCAGCCCAGCTCAGACTCATGTGAAGATTAACTGGGGCAAAGTTTGAAGTGCTCCATGCACGTAGGGTCTTGTCGTTCTGACTCGGGCTGAGGACATGTCCCCTTCCACCTATTCCCACCTCCCCTTCTACCTATTTCCACCTCTCCTCTAATATTTATTTATTTATTTTTTATTCTATGTCTATGAGTGTTTTGCCTGCATGTATATAAGTGAACTATGTCTATGGAGGCCAGAAGAGGGCATAAGATATACCCTGGAATGGAGTGACAAATGGTTCATAGCCACCATATAGATGCTGGGAACTGAACCTGGGTTCTCTGCAAGAGCAGCCAGTGCTCTTAATCACTGAGCCATCTCTCCAATCCACCCTCCTTTTCTGACCCATCATCCAAGGTCCAAGGTCTTTACCTCCTTTGGCCATGGCTTCCTCATCCAGCCACTTTACTTTTTAGCACCTCTGGCACTGAATGAATGCTGGTCCTATGACCAAGGACTTTGTCCATAGGCCCCGAATGAATGCTGGTCCCATGACCAAGGACTTTGTCCATAGGCCCCGAATGAATGCTGGTCCCATGACCAAGGACTTTGTCCATAGGCCCCGAATGAATGCTGGTCCCATGACCAAGGACTTTGTCCATAGGCCCCGAATGAGTGCTGGTCCCAAACCAGGCCTGTGTCCCTGTTCAGGGACTCACTGGTACCATCAGGACCAGCCTGACACCATGGAGAAAAGTCCCATTGTGCCAGCATGAGTGGGTCCTTGCAGGGCCACTGGCTCACAGCCCAGCAGGAGGAAAAGAATGGAGCCCTTGCTGGGCAGCTGGGTCCTGGTTCGGGTCTCTGGTCACATGGAGACTCAGTCTGGACAAATGGGAACAGAAATCCTCAGTTGCAGGGCTGGGAGGGCCGCCTGATGCAGAGGACAGGGGAGGCAACACGTTTGCTGAGTATGTCATTTGTACTGGATGCTGGTCAGAGCCTTTCCCATTTCACATGTACAATTCTGTAAAATTAACACTGGAAAAACAAGGTTTCGATGGGTACTGGCTGGTGATGGGTAGGAGAGACGACATTTGTCATCAACTCTGTGCTAAACTAGCTCCGAGGCTCTGAGGCTGGAGCTGGGCCTAACCCTCCCACCTAAGATCCCCTGCCTGCATGAGTCCTGTCCCCTAGAGGGAAGACACCCTCACTATCCGAGGAGAGGGACTCAGAGTTCCTTTGACTCCTTGGCTCATGCCACCCTCCACTGGCACAGTGACCACCAAAGATCAAGCAGTCTTCATGATAAGTGCTCACCACTGGCCCTCAGTGTAGCCCTATTACCTCTCATCCCCCAGGTGCTCCCAAGTATTTGCACTTGTCCTTCTCATCTTTTCTCTTGTCCCCTTCCTGTCTTCCCACATTCCAGTCCAACTCCAGCCAAGATGATCCCATGTACCCGCGCCTGTCTCTGCACTAACCAATTAAACCAATTATGACATTATACGTTAATGTGTGTCTCTTCTCATGGTCCAGGGTCCTTTTCGGTTGAGTCCAGGAGAACTGAGCTTGTAGTTTTTGGAGAGTAGGGAAGTGGGAGGGCATCTCAAAGTGAGTTTCACGTCCTCTGCCCACCCCCCTCACCTCATGTCAAAGTTGGCTGGAGGAAATACAAGGTGGAGAAGTTCACACATCTACTTAACTTACAAACACCTCCAGGTGATTCCTACTGAGAACTTGCCTGTCACTCTCACTGCCACCTTGGGCCAGGCTACCAAGCTGTATTGGAAGATAAGAGTTAGGGGACCTCATATTTTATACTTTGAGTCCTTCACATAGTTCAGTTATGAAAGGATCATTAACAGGGGAACTGAGTCTGTCTGGGTAGATGTGGAAGAGGGTAGATATTTGGGGAAGTGAGAGCTGGGGGTTGAGGGGAGATGGCCTGGATATCAGAGTAGATGCAGAACCCCAAGATTCCCTCAGTGGCTGTACAAAGACCATCTCTTGGGGAAGAACTTGTCACTCTAAAATATACTCTCTTTCTCAGGGTTGTGATAGTGTTCTGAGCTGGTGATAGACCCTCTCTGCGACTTTCAGTCAGCTTCAGCCACCAAATCCCTGCCTGCCAACATGACCCTTGCAGGTAGGTGCCTGTGCTGTTGGGTGGTAGGTGGCATTGTAACACAGACCATTTCTCTTTTGTGTGTGTACTTGTGCATGATAAGATATATATGTGTGTGTGTGTGTGTGTGTGTGTGTGTGTGTGTGCACATGCATGTGGAGACCAGAGGACAATTTCAGTGTCATTCCTCAGTGGTCATCAATCTTTTTTGTCACAGGGTCTCTCACTGGCCTGGAGCTTGCTGATTAGGCTAGACTGGCTGGCCAGTGAGCCCCAGGAATCCTCCTGTCTCTGCCTCTCCAATGGCTTTCCTGTGTGGGTTCTGAGGGGTAAAACTCAGGTTAGGTCCTTCTGCCTGTAAGGCAAGCATTTTACTCATGGAGCCATCTCTCCAGCCTTCTTTGTCTGTGAATATGTACTTCTGGATGACCAGAGACAAAGGGCGAAGAGGAAAAGAGAGGTTGTTTCTGAGTGGTGGGTGGGATCAATGCTGAATTTTTCTTCCTTTTGCTCATCTGTGTATTATTTTAAAGTTAGAAATGTCTTTGTAAGGATTTTGCAGTTACTTATGCTTTCAAATTTGTAAGTGAAAATGAGCACTGGGCTGGGTGGGCCAGGTACCAAGAGAATCTCTTATGCTTGGCATGAAACAAGGTACTGTGGAGAAGGGCTGGCAGGTACCACCATGGTGGCCAGGGCAGCTCTGACCTGTAACCTTCCAACAGAGAGACTCAAGGGTGTGAGGACTCTAATTCTGTTCTGTGGACAACAGCCTGGCTTTGAGTCCTGTGCTAGAAAAGTCTGAGAACACTCCCAGACTGACGTATCCAGAGGGTGGGTTCAGAATGGAGGGAGGTGGTGAGGAGACCCATTCCAGCAGCTTCTTCACCCTTCAAGCAGTGATGCCATGTACTTTCACCAGAATGGAGTGTGGAGTCCCTAAGACCTAGAGTCAAACAACTGGCCTAAACTTGGGTGGGAGTTGGGGATGGAGAGTGAGAACCAGGTTTGGGACACTGGCATTTGGGTACCTGAGGGTACTTTGAATTAGGTAAGAGTGGGAAGTACTGACAAGAAGAGTAAAGTCACCTGGGTGGTATGGAGGGTCACATTTCAACAGGAGCCCAACAGAGGTGGCTCTGGGTGCCAGCGGCTTGAGTGCCTTCGAGCCAGAAAGCCAGGGCTGACTCATGGAAACACTGGTTCCTGATACTCATGGGGCCCCATTGTCACTGGCTTGCCTCCCCATTTCCCTCTCTGCAGCCTATAAGGAGAAGATGAAGGAGCTCCCGCTGGTGTCTCTGTTCTGTTCCTGCTTCCTGGCCGATCCCCTGAATAAATCGACCTACAAATATGAAGGTGAGTGTAGGCTGAGCTGGGAGAAAAGAGGGCAGAGGCTTCTGTGTCCTGTGTTTGTGGGTAGCACCCTGACCTCCATCTCAGGAAGCTCTCCTGGTCATGGTGTGTCTTCTGTCCCAGAATCCTAGAATCTGAGCAGACAGTCTGGATTGGCTCCTTTCAGAGTACTTACTCTTAGAGTCCCTTTTATACATTCCTTGAACAAATGGATGCTGTTGAGGATGGAACCTGTCAGAGATTCTGTCTGTAGAGACACAGAAGAGGAAACTTGGGGTGTTCATCAGGGCTCCTAGAGACAGGTAGAGATTCTCCTGGGGAGCCTTGAGATGGGAAGAGGACTTCCTGCCTTGGCTGTGACAGCTGTATCATCAGGGACGGTCCCCAGACCTTGGCAGAGAGTATTGGATGGCCACTTCCTCACAAGGGATGACCAGGGAATGGGTCATCTCCTCATTTCCTGGTTGCGAGGAAGGGATGGGTTTGGTCTGTCAACGAGAGAGGGATGTTCGGATGACCTGAGACTGTTTTTTCTGTTTAGGCTGGTGTGGGAGACAGTGTAGGAGGAAAGGTCACAGCCAGCGGAGAGACAGTGCTGACTGGACAGAAAGAAGAGAACAGGGTAGGCGGGAGCCAGGGGAGAGGTCCACAGGCCAAGCCCTCAGAGGGACAGGGGAAAAGGAGGGGTTAGGGGTGGGCTAGGGGTAAACTGCACCAACATCTGTCATCAGGGAGGAGCCCTGGAGAAAAGGTTCAAATCTCAGAGGAGGCTGGTGGCAGGGGCAGGTGCAGACACAGCTGGTGTTGCTGCAGCGCTTACCAGAAATCAGATCCTGGGATCTCTGCTTGGGGATCCCCAAACCCTACTGTGGCCACTGACTTCTTCAACCCTGTCGGAGCCCACTGATCTTAGGCACCAGTGTTCAGGATCAAGTCAGACCCCCTAGTCGTTTGTGTACCTTGGGGACCCCAGTTTCCCAGAGTGTGTTTGCATGTGTGCATGCTTGCTGGGGCCTCTGGTGCTCCTCAGCAGGTGAGCAGTGCTCCCGCTCTGCCCTCTGCAGCAGACACAGTGGACCTGAACTGGTGCGTCATCTCTGACATGGAAGTCATCGAACTGAACAAATGCACTTCAGGCCAGTCCTTTGAAGTCATTCTGAAGCCACCATCCTTCGATGGGGTGCCTGAGTTCAATGCCTCCCTCCCTCGTCGGCGAGACCCATCACTGGAAGAGATTCAGAAGAAACTAGAAGCAGCCGAGGAGAGAAGGAAGGTCGGTGCAGCCCTTTTGTTCTCCCTTCCATCTTAGTGTGAGCTGGAAAAGACAGGTGGTGGCCTTGAGCTGGGGTAAGGTCACAATGAACCCACAGATATTTAGACAGAACTTACCATGTGCCAGGCAGAGACTAAGACACCATCAAGGGAAATGCACACAATTGTCCATTGTCTCAGAGTAGGCCTGATATGCAGAGGCAAGAGACCATGAAACATTTAGGAAGACAGAGAAAGCTACCTTGGCCTGATGTATTTCCAGCCTGTGTGTGACTTCCTTGTTCTCTATTGAGTCTAATGGCTTAATTCAGATGCCATCTTTTTAAAATATTTTATTTTCTATGTATGAGTTTATTGCCTCCATGTATGTAAGTGCACCCATATTGTGCAATGCCTTCAGAAGAGGGTGTTGGATTTCCTGGAACCTGACTTATTGATGGTTGTCAGCTGCCATGTGGGTGCTGGGGACTGAACCCAGGTCCTCTGCAAGAACAGCCAGCGCTCTTAACCGCTGAGCCATCTCTCCAGCCCCCAGATGCCACTGTGAAGTGAGCTTTCCTTTACCTTTAATTACTTGGTACTTCCTCTCACCTCTAAGGTATTACATGTAGTGTTGGGTTTCAGTTATTAATTCATATATAAGTTTTATTTCTAGTAGGTTACTTTTCCCCCTTCCCAGGAGTCCGGAGTAGTGGAGGGGTTAGTGTAAGATCACAGTATTTTTGAGTGAGTGAATGATGAAAATGAGAAAATGATTCTGAAGATAATTAGGAAAGGGTTGAATAGAATCAAAGATGTTTGGAAGGTCCATGTCCTCACTTCCTGATCATGGGCCAGAGAACCAGGTTCAGGGATACATCCGCATTGGGTGTGGTGCTCTCCACCCTCACCCTAAAGGCCCTTTTGGCTTTTTGTGCTTCTCCAGTACCAGGAAGCTGAGCTCCTGAAGCATCTAGCAGAGAAACGAGAACATGAGCGAGAGGTGATCCAGAAAGCCATTGAAGAAAACAACAACTTTATCAAGATGGCGAAGGAGAGACTGGCCCAGAAGATGGAGTCCAATAAAGAGAACCGGGAGGCCCATCTGGCCGCCATGTTGGAACGCCTGCAAGAGAAGGTGAGTGGTCCTGGGTTGGCAGGAAGTTCATGGGATGCTTCCTTCTTTCCACGGCAAGTATACATGGACCTGCACATCACTTCCGGAGGAAACAGCCTTGGCAGGAATGGAAATATTTCCATCAGGCAGGGTCCTTAAAGTTCTAAGCAGCTGATCTGGGAAGGCAAGAAACGCACATGAAGCTTCGGGAGTCCTTGGGGGATTTTCTGGAGCTATACAACCGACATCTCTCACTGTCTCAGGAGTGTACACCCCTTTTCTAGAGAAACCCTGTCAAATGCAAGGTCTAGGGATAGACATCCGGCTGTACATTAATGTCTTCATCCTTGAATGAACAAATTTGACATAATGGAAGATGCGGGCTTTAGGCTGGCCCCAAGCCGGGAAACACAATAAATTGAGTTGCCCATTGGGCAGGAAATATGATATTCTCCAGAGTTTTTGATATGGGCCAGGGAGCATCAGGTTTTTCCTGTAGGCTGCCCTTTGTCAATAACCCAAATGTCACCTGCATTTAAGAGACGCAAGAGACTGGGGTTGGTCCTCGGTGTCGTTTTGCGGAGGATGTGCTGGCCTCATTTCCTGAGTCCCAAGGCCGCCCCAGTTTCTCCTGCAGCTCCTGGGAAGCTCCAGCTCTGTGTTTTATTTCCAGGAGCCGCCTGCTGCGCGGTGACTCCCGGGACCGATCGGTGGCCTCGTCCCATGGTGAGCAGCGTGGTCCTCACTCCTTCCCGCCTTCCCACCTAGAACCTCAGGCCCTTGGCAACAGCTACTAGAAAGATCTGGCTTCTTCACCAGAGATGTGAGCTGCACAGTGGCCCTGGAGCTGGCCAGTAGGTGGCAGCCCCATGCTCTGATGTTCCATTGCACAAGGGACAGCAAGGCTTCTTCCTCTACCAAGTGCATATGGGGGAGACGCAATCTGGGTTTGACCTTGGGCTTCTCCAATTCATGAGGGATACTTGAGGCAAACTAGTATTTTTCTCTTTGAGACTAGGTCTTATATATCCCAGGCCTGGCCTTGAACTGGCTATGTAGCTGAGGATAGCCTTGAAATTTGGATCCTCCTGTAGCCACCTCCCAAGTACTGGGACTGCAGTTGTGTGCCACCATGCCTGGTTTATGCTGGGGAAGGAACCTGGGCTTTATGCATGCTGGGCAAGCACTATAGTTTCTGAGCTACATCAAAAACTCATGAAGAAACAAATTTGCAGTTGGGATAGGAGGGGCATGGGCTCACAGACCTGACCCCAAACAAATCATTGAGCTAGACCACTCATTTGTTTATAAAACACTCTTATCCTCTTATTGTTAGCACTATTGTCACAAGTCTATGAGGAAAACAGGACAGGGTCGTTCTTAGTGCAGACGAGGAAACCAAATCAGACAGAGATTAAATGATTCACCCGGAGTCACACAGTGACAATGGAGTTGGAATGTAGCCTTTGCCTGTCTCAGAACATTCCACCATCATCGCACTAGGCCTTCATTGGCAGGGGTGGGAGTTGGGGTAGGGAGTCTTTGGAAACCAAGCAAGCAGAGGTCAGAAACTTAGGGTTCCACCCAGCCGGACTATCTGAGAACAGAGGCTAAATTGGAGTTAGAGGTTAGCGAGGCCACATCCTGGAGTGACAGCTGTGCAGGTGAGGTCCACCCTGAGAAGATGTCAGCTCAGACATCTGAGAGGACATCTTTCTTTGGGACCTTGATCCCCACTCATCTGTACCCACTGAAGGAAAAGGGATTGGGGTGAGAGCTGGGTGTGTGATTTTGCCTTGTATCTTTGTGCACAGGCCAGGGACATCTTCAACAATGCTTTATGTGCCTTGTATGTGTCATGATCAGAATCCCTAGGTGCAAAAGCTCTAGCCCAAACCTGACTCTCTCAGGGCAGGGCCTGAGGACCACATGAGCTCCAAGTCATGTGATACACACCAGAGTCTGAGAACCTCTGCTTCAGACAATTTCTATCAGCTTATGGAAAGTTCTAGGGACCTTGGAGAGATAGACTTGTAGATGAAGGTGTATCTTAGGAACCCAGGTGGCCTTCATGGGCATATTCCAGGTGACTCTGTCACCTAGATGTGGAAACACCAGCTTCTGGTAGTGGGATTATCCAGCACCTGCCAAGGACCATATAGAATTAAGAAATATAAAGAAGGACAACACAGTCCTGGCCCACAAGGATGTTATCCTCTTAGTGGGGACCCAGATATTTTTTCAGTGAGCTGGCAAGACAGTTAAGGCAGGTGTGATATGGTTCTGCGAGTGGACACTTGCCACAGAGCTCAGGAGGCGAGCCCACTGCCCATTATGGTTTCTTTAGAGAGGTCCAAAAACTGAGGCCCGATTAGAGAACACCATCAGCTAAGGTCACAGTCAGTTAGGGTCTCACAGCTGGTTGGGGTCGGGGGTCAGGCAGATCTGGTCTTTTGGCTGGATTATCTAAGGAAACAAAGGTTCTGTTCCAAAACACATAAGGATGTCCACTTCTTGTAGTCAAGCAATAGCTTGAAAGCATTTTCTGTCATTTTCTACCTTGAGGGCCAGCATCCTTCAGTCAGGGGCTTAAGACGATGCTGAAGAGGAAAGCAGCTGCGATGTTTCAGGGTGCTGGGGATGGGTTCACTCACTCTTCCCAATCCAGCTTCCCCAAGTGGCCTTCTACATTTTGTCAAGTCATGTGATCAACTCACCTGCTTAGAGGAGGGAGTGAGAGAGACTGGGTACCTTGGAGTCATTGTGAGGTGGGTTCCCTTTGGGAGGTGGGGAACCTATTGGGCGATGGACTCTGTGGACCACATGTGGGCTTATAGGCATGTGTCCTCGTCTCACTGCCTCCTTCTGCCCCTCTCAGGATGCCTTTGCGGACAGCTCTGCCCTTCTGTGGTGGCCGTCTCTTGCTTTCCAGTCTCTGGCCTTTTGGCCTCCCTTTTGTATCCTGGGCAGCCTTGTGTGACCACCCTGTCCCTCCCTTCCTTCCCAGGACAAGCACGCGGAAGAGGTGCGGAAAAACAAGGAGCTGAAGGAAGAGGCCTCTAGGTAAAGCCAGAGGCCAAAGAAGTTTCCAGGACAGCCGGACAGCTCCCGCAGCGACCCGGTTCCAGCAGCCTCAGCCGGTGGCTGCTCTCCCAGCACTGGGGTTTGGGGGGAGGGGGGGTGGCCAAGGGGCATTTCCTCTGCTTTTGGTGTTTGTACATGTAAAGATTGACCAGTGAAGCCATCCTATTTGTTTCTGGGGAACAATGATGGGGTGGGAGAGGGGACGGAAGGAGAGAGTGTGGAAAGGGATGTGGAGAAGAGCTCATGGACATTGTGACACTGCCCACCGGCCGCAGACTCAAGCCAAGGCCCCCGCTTGTCATGATTCTTCCTGGACATCCGGCCTCCAGGTTCCACGTGGAGAGAAGATGAGAACCGGGGCGGGGCAGAAGTTCAGAGTGAAGGGCAGAGTCCTGGTGGGGTGGTGGCCACAGGGCCATGAGGACAAGCCCATCAGGATGGGTGTGTGGGACCTGCCCTGCAGCAGGTGGGATGCAGTCTGTGTGTGTTAATCATCATCTTTTGATCATCATGACCAATGAAACATTTACTCTAAGTCTCCTGTTCTTTATTTCCTGAATTTACCCTTTGGGGAATTGATAGAATGTTCTAGAAATTTGACTCCCACCTATCTTTTTCTTTTTTAAAAAAGAAAATTTATTTTATTTATGTATGTGTGTGTGTGTGTGTGTGTGTGTGTGTGTGTGTGTGTGTCTGTTTGTGCAGGTGCCCTCAGAGGCCAGAAGGGGGTGTTGGATTGCTAGGAACCAGAGTTATAGGTACTTGTGAGCTGCTTGACATAGGAGTTAGGAATCAAACCCTGGTCCTCAGAGTAATAAGTTATCTTAATCACAGAGCCGTCTCTCTAGCCTAGCTTCTGCCCACCTGAAGGCAATAGTCTTTTAATTTTTCTTTCTTCTTTCTTGGTTTATTTTTATTTTCCATGTATGAATGTTTTGCCTGCATACATGTAAATATACCCGTGTCATGCAATGCCTACAAAGGCCAGAAGAGGGCATTGTATCCCCTGGAATTGGAGTTAGGGATGGTTGTTAACTGCCATGTAGGTGTTGTGAACCCAACCCAGGTCTTCTGCAAGAGCAGTCAGTGCTCTTAACTGCTGAGTCATCTCTTGAGCCCCATTTTTTTTTTCTTTTAATTTTTCCATCCAAGAATCTGAGGTGCTGGGTGAGGTGGGTTAAATCACGCCAGCTAAGGTTTGCTTTTTCTTTCTCCTTTTAACAACCCTCCTCCCACCCACTGTGGGCTGTTCCTTAGTGAACAGATACACTAAATTGATAAAAGAAACGTCACCTTTCCTGTTGTGGACTGACATCAGGATTCACTGTATGAGCGAAATTCTCTTAGTCTCGTAAGCTGCTATAACAAAATGCCTTAGGCTGGGTGATTTATAAACAACAGAAATTTACTGCTTATAGTTCTAGAGACTGAGAAATCTAAGATCACGGTGCCAGCAGATTTGTTGTCTGGTGAAGGCTGCTCTCTGCTCAAAAATGGTGCTTCTTGTTATGTCCTCTGGTGGCAGGAAAGCAAAAGGAGTCCCTGAAGCCTCTTTTTTGTAAGGGCATCAGTCCATTCATGAGGGTAGACCTTGTGACTTAATCTCTTCCTAAAGGGTCCACCTCTTCTACTAAACCTTGGGGAATGAGGTTTTAATATATGACTTTTGGTGGACAACAGCATTCAGACCATGGTAGAGACCCTCATGGAGGGTTTGGAATTCTAGGTGGGTCTCAACATTTGAGTGAGGAAATACAGTGTTTATCAGAGGAAGAAGAAGGGTCATGTTCTGTAGGACACTGTACCAGAGCTGCAGAAGACAGCCCCTCTAAGTCTCCTCCATGAGCAGGAGTTGGGTGGAGTCTGTGTGAACCGGGTCCCAGGGCATTTCCATACCCGACCCTGTACTCTATGGAGTTCTGTTCAGCTTTGTAAATAAGAGCTTCAGTGCTGCCTTAATATTATCTCAGCAGTGGTACTATAAGTGAGTTTTAACTTAGGATAGGATGATAACTGGACCAAAGGGTAGTGGTGGTGATGATGATGGTATTAGTGGTGGTGGTGGTGATGGTAACAGTAGAAGTGATTGTGATATTGATGATGATGATGGTGGTGGTGGTAATGTTGAAGGCAGCTTACACTTTTAGGCAGTACTTCGCAGATACCTGGCAATATTTTAGTCTTTCATATAGATCATGTCATTAACTTTGCTCATCGATGGTAGGGTAAAGTCGCTGCTGTCACTCCATTATGTAGATTGAAAAGTTGAGGTATCGAAAGGACAAGTCACTTACCCAAGTTCCCACACATAATAAGTGGGAGGACGGGGCTTGAATTTGGCAACTTGCTCCCAGAGCCTGTATTTTTAGCCTGCACTGTGCTGCTTTTTTGATACTTCTAAACTAGGCTCCGAGTCTCCATCAGGGTTTTGCTGGTGGAGCTGTGACTCATGGGATTGTGACCAACTTTGCTGGTTCCACTCAGTCTTCTTTCTCTCTCCCTTTCTGTTATGCTGGGAATATTGACCGAAAGGCATGGAGGTAAAAGTATTTTTCAGATAAAAATTGATATAAAACTTTAAAAAAGAATAAACACTATGGAGAGAAATGCAGTGGGAAAAGTCCCAGAGAGAATCACTTTCTTTTAAGGGAATGAAGTCTTTTTCTAGCAGTTAAAGAGAAGTTACCTGGCCTTGTCTCCTGGGCCATCTGTGCTGGGTCTATATGAATAGTTAAGAGGGAGGCAGCTCACTATCTTGTAAGATATAAACCTTATGATACCACTTGTCTTTCCTGAGATTGGCCATTTGGGGTGAGATGCTAGGGGGTCTCAGGAGTCGGGCTCTAATTAATCAGTGGTCAAGATCCAAGCAGTTAGGGTCTCACCATTAGAGAAAGGTATTTTGCATTTTATTTTGGCATTTTTGTTCCTTCCTTC